GTAAAGCTGAATATGGATGCAGTTTTGGTGCACCTCCTAAAAAGATTCAAGTTTGAACTTGAATGGGTTTTGGAGCCTGGTTTCATAACTTTACTCTGGTAGTTCTTAAAAAAAAAAAAGTTTATATATATATATATATATATTTGAAGGATCACGTGACACTAAAGACTGGAGTAATGATGCTGAAAATTCAGCTTTGATCACAGAAATAAATTACATTTTAAAATGCATTAAAATATAAAATAAATATTTTAAATTGGTAGTGGAATGGTAGTGCAGCTTAATGTACTTTTCAAACCGAAAGATTTGCATTGTCCTTTAAAAGAAAATAAAACAGTAAATAGTTCTAGAATTATACTCCTGAAATTTGAAATAGAGCAAGGTCTGACTTTTGGTTTTGGCTCTAATGGCTTTGGCAGCTTCATATTTTTCCATTAAAAATATAATTCTGATGACTTTCCAGCTAATTTACACTTTTCTGATTATTTTTCTTTTCATTACTAAACTGTTTCTGATTCTAATTCAACAACCTCCCAAGTGTCTTCTTTCAAAGATCATTACGCCTGCAGTCCAAAAGGTTTGAGAATGTGCAGATGTGTCAATGTGCAGATTAGCAAATTAAATCTGTTCAAATTAAAGGCTCCAAAAGGCGGTTTTCTCAGCGATGCCATAGAAGAACGATTTTGGGTTTCCCAAAGAATCTCTCAGTGAACAGTTCTTAAAATAACCGTTTTTGTCTTAGCATAAAGAACATTTGAATAATCTAAAGAATCTTTTTCCTCCACACTCTTTAAAATAGGGGTTTTTGGAACTATGCCATAGAAGAACCAATTTGGGTTTAAAGGAACCATTTTTGAAGAACATTCTAATATTCTGAAGAACCGTTTTCCACTATAAAAGAAACGTTTGTGCAACTGAATGTTCCAGGAATATTAAAGGCTCTTCAAGGAACCATTGATGCCAATAAAGAACATTTATTTTTAATAGTGTACGAGGAACAATCAACTGCACTCAATTGTTCAATGGATGGTAGAAGTTCTTCATGGAACCAATAAAGATGCCAATAAAGAACCTTTATTTTTAAGACTGAAGCATTTTATTCTGGTGCTTTAAAGACACCCAAACCAGAAGAAACTCTAATGCACCAACAAGAACTTTTTAGGCTCCTCGATCAGAAGATAGTTCTCTGCTGAACCCAGGAGCCACTGAAGAACCTTTATTTTCAAGAGCACATGAGATTGGCTGGAGGTGGGGGGGTGCTGGGAGAACTTCTCCAGTGACTCCAGCTCCACACTCCTGCAACAGTGGGTCTCAGGGTGGAATTTTCCATGGAGCATGTGGCACGGAGTATACGCACACTGCTCTCTAGTTTAAATAGTGCTGTGTGGGCTCTGCCAGCGCTCTGTCTCTGCATGAGCCCCACTCTATCTCTCTCTCTCTCTCTCTCGTGCATATTTGTGTGGCTTCCAGTGCCGCTGTGCCCTGCAGTGCTGCCTGCGAGCGCTTCCTGGCGCCCAACCAAATAAGACCGATAGCATGTGAGCGCATTAGCCAACACGTTATTCTGAAACAGGACACCTCATTCAAAGTTCACTTCCAGGAAAAAGCTAACTACATCTTATATGGTTATTATCTAGTCTTCTTTCTTTTCTATTTGCTCATTGTTTCCTTGCGACACATTGGCTCCGTTCCAAATCTGCACTGTCTACATAGGCAGCTGCCTTCTAAGGATTCTATCTGAAATGGAATCTCATAACTGACCGATTTGGAACGCTCTACATAGGCAGCGACTACAAATAGCACTCCTCAGAGGAAGAGTGTGGGAGACTTGACTCCCAATTGATTTCAATGGAGTTTGGTGTTAGCAATGTGTGCTAAGCTAACACTGCTAAACTTGAAATAAAATACACAGCACACAAACATTTTGTAAACTGCCCATTTTTAATTAGATTGAACTGTTTTTTCATTCATACTTTTTACTATTGAATGAAAATTTGTAAGGGGCTAAAGGTGCACCGGGGGTTTCATTTTATTCTCCTCTTAACCACTAGATGGCACAAAAACTGAGGCAATTTCCTAAACATCCGCATTATGGAAATTTGGCTGATCTTTAATGCGATAACAGGCAGCAACGCAAAGCTGATTCTGAACTAATTTGATCTAATATGTATTGTTGTAGATTTATGTAGCAAATGAGAATCTATAAAATTAAAGAATATACTGAGACAAACATCTGATGTTTAGTTTTGTTCGAGGCAATTAAATCAACAGTTTTCCAGTGATTCAAGAATATGTAAAAGTATGGTATTTGGGGGTAAAAAGCAGCTCTGCTGATAGGCTAAAGGCATAATAATTAACGTAATAAACAGATGGTTTACTTTTCCATTTCTTGATATGATATGGTTAGCTTTTTATTTTATTTTTTTGTTGCTTTTTTATTTATTCTTACTACTGTGGAGCCATATTGAATTATTATGGGATCTACTTCAAAGCTTAACTTTTGTTAAAATATTTTTTCTGTATTTTTAAAATAAACATTTTAATGTCAGTTTTAATCTAATGACAGATGTATTGAACAAAAAAAATATTTTCGATTTATCAAAATAAACGGTAACACTTTATTTCGATAGTCCACTTTAGACATTCTATTAACAGTAAGTAACTTTGCAACTACATGTCAACTAGCAGTTAGTAGAGTATTAGTAGACTGTCTGCTTAATATCTTCTAACACTTTCTTTGTCAACATTCTACTAACCCTAAACCTACCCTAACAGTCTACTCTGAGAGTTAGTAGACATGTAGTTGCAAATTAATGAGAATTAGTTGACATGTAGTTGACATGTAGTTACAAAGTTACTTATAGTTAATAGAATGTCTAAACTGGACTATCGAAATAAAGTGTAACCAAATAAACAATTTGTTTTGAACAAGTATTAACGCAAAAATAACATTGCTGGTGGGCCTTTTATCCCAAACATGTTACATGATTTCTAAACAAAACAAACCACTTTTATGATTTATTATCCCGCTTAATGTGTTGCTCTCTCACTGTTCAATAAAAATATTTTTTTTCCACAGTCATACATACAGTACAAGAGTAGTGAAAAGCACATTCTCCTTAATGCGTGCCTTAAGCCCCGTTGTACCCTAATCAACATTTCTGTTTCGCTTCGCTTGAGCTCGTCGCAATGCATTCTGGGATTTCAACATCCATTAGGGATACATGTGATACTGCTTTAAACTTGTCGCACACCACAATGAGGACAACTCACGGGTATCACAAACTGAACGGGTCATTCTGTACTCGCACGCTCAAGTTAAAGGCAGTCGTCCAAGAATCTAAACACCATACAGGCAAAAGTTCACTTCAAGTTTACACTTGCATTGGTGCATAAAAAACAGCACAAACAGTTGAATTAGATTAGAAAGGGTTATGCATATATATCATTGCCTATAACATATACTTTATCCAAGGGAGCGTGTCTACAATGCCTTAAAATGCTAACTACGTAAGCAGCTCTTTAGGATTTGGAACAGAGCCATTGTGATCTAACCCACAATCTGAAAATTCAATTTTAAAATAATTGGTGGCGTTTCTCCGAATGCCGACACAGGATTATTTATATCCCATAAATGCTTGCTGACTGGGGCTGGCGCTGTGCCAACTCTATTCATATTTGGAGTATTTATACAGCAGGCAGTGCCAAGAATAACATTTAATGCAAAATATACCCCGGGGCATAAAAGATTTCCTAATTTATTTTTCTTTCAACCTGTATACACACATTTGATCTGAGAACTGAAAACGATTACATAATTAATGGCACAATAAGGGCATTTAAAAGCACTTATTTACTTATATAGGCCTGACTTTCAACACACAGTGGGGTAGTATTTAGGCACACTGAGAAGCATTATTCAAAAGTGGTGTGTGTGTATGTGTGTGTGTGTGTGTGTGTGTGTGTGTGTGTGTGTGTGAGTAATGGAGGGAAGGAATGAGAATAACATTCTAGAAGCAAAAGTACTGTAACGCTGACCTGCTTGGTTGCTAAAAGCGAACATGAAAAATTATTTCAAATGATTTACCCAGCAAATTTGCATAAATGATGTAAAGACTCTGCAGACAGCTGCACAAATATTGGTCCCTCACTATAGCCTATGATGTGGCGACTGTGGCTTAGTGGTTAAATCTGTTCTGTAACTGAAAGATTGTGGATTCAAACCACTCCGAGGAATGACACATTGTGTGCTCTTGAAAAAAAAGAGCCTAACCTCAGGTTACTACAGGGGGGTGAACCTCTAATTAGTGTAATAAATGGCAAACTAGTAATTTAGAATGCAGTCAAGAATAATCTGGCTATATCGTCTTAGTTCTTCACATTTGGCATGAGGTTCATATTAGACAACAATCAGATAACGAGTACTGAAGGCTACAACGACTGAACCTTATTTTTAGTATACATTACAAATGACAAAATAAATTACACAAAACAAGAGGTATTTATGAACTATGGGAATGACCTGCAGAGAATAACCAGCACTTTTACCATGCCACAATATCTTTGAACATGCATTTAAACAACAATGTTTAAATGATTGTGGCAACTGCCAATTTTGGTAAATATGGTGCCAGTTTTCAGTTTTGAAAGCTCTATAGATACACGTTAGATTTATGCATCTATAGCAGATGCTTCAATCCAAAGCAATTTACAAAATTTGAAATAACAAAAAGATGCTAAAACTCAATTTTGGCACTTTGTCTTGAGAGGATCAGCATGTTTGTGACATTGCAAACCATGCTTGTTATAAATATGCCTATTTTCATTCTTTCATTTAGGCTGTGGGTGGCAGGGAGCCCGTCGAGTGTTTCTGCACTGGGGCCCATCAGACCCTCTTTAAACCACTGAGGTAAACTGAGCACAATGATGTTATGAAACATCATGAATGAATATGAAAGCAATACCCAATCCCACCCCAAAAACAGGGTTGAAACACTCACTCTCGGCAGGGTAGAAGGGCTGCATGTCTATCTTGTGCACTTCTTTGGCGTAGTACTCCTCCTCGCTGCGCTGTCTCTCGCAGGTGGCCGCTCGCTCGTTGGCTTTCTCTTGCAGCAGGTCCCGTGTGCTGTTATAGATGGCGATGATGTCCCGGGACACCTCCTCAGGCTCGGGGTAGATCTCCGGAGGACTGCTCAGCTTGAGTTTACTGAGGATCTGACCGCGGATGGCCTCGATCCGCTTCTTTTTGAACTGCTCCATGTCCAGAGTGCTGCATGTGGATAAACTGACGGCCACTGTGGCTAAATCCAAGGTCAGAAGGAGACTCAAGACGTACAAGTTCATTTTGTGCTTTTGTTTTTGTAGCTGAAGCGAGTTTAAAAATGCTAATTAGTGAATTAAGTTATGCAGAAGCCCACTCATTTCAACTCGATGGCAAAGCCAACTTAAACTTTTGCGCGTTTGCGCACTATTAGCAATGGCAAACGTCTGTTTATTGTACTCGCAAATCCATCCGAGGTGCCAACACGAAATGGTCTGTCAGATCCGTTAAATGCGGGAGAGAAACTAAGATCTTCATTCCAAATCACTTCAGTGCACAGAATCACGGGGCACTAAAACAGCCATTGATTTGGCCATCAAAAGTTTCTGCTTCTCAAAGCTCTGTTGATGACAGACGCGTCGCATGCGGGCTTTTTGCGCGCACCTCCACCGCATCAGAGCGCCGCGAACTCTCTCCAAAGCGCCGCACGATCACGCCTCCCTCTCGCCCTCACTGTATGAGAAGATGTGGAGGTCCAGGAAAAGCCTCTGCTCACTCCGCAAGGCGCATCGCCTCTCCTCCTCCTCCTCGCGTTTGGCACCAGCAGATGCTGCAGAAAATAAAGCTGTACCTGTCTCACGCGTCCTAAACTTGCCTGACGAGTACGGAGTGATGGGATAAACTACTGTAAGAGCAGGCAAAAGCGATTTCCTCTTCAGTTTACGCACTCCTCCATTCCCTTCTGGTGGAAAACAACGGTCCCCGTGCCAGCACACACATGCACATCTGAAGGCAGCCGGTTGGAGAGAGAGATTTATATAGGACTGACTTCACCACGTGGTTGTGGTCATCACGGTGAGTCCGAGGGATTCGTCAGCGCGCGGGTTTACCAGGCACTTCAGTGTAAATATCTCAGCATGCCCTTTCTCTTCAGCACTGCGGCCAGGTCCTAACGCCCACTGGGTACTTCCACTCTGGCACGACCAGACTGGGACTCATTTGTACCTCCCCAAAAGAAAGTCAGAGTAAACCACAAAACTTGCAAGAAAAAGATTTCGAGAGACCAAAAGTCCTTATAAGCTATTTCACCTGCGCAAAACGCGCGCAACCATTAGTCCCCAGCGGTAACGACAAAATATGTTGCCAGTATTTATCACATTATTATAGTGTTACATATAACAGGTAAGTCATAAAAACCTTTAGTGTTTTGTTTAAAGTGTCTTTCATATTGCTGATGTTGGGGATAAAGTGTACATACTATACACAAACAACATAAAAAATTCAAACTAATTGGGTGATTTGAATGTTTGTGATTAAATGTTGTAATTTTTGTAAGATTTTAATTTTATATAGCAAGCCTTGTGTTCAAAAACATGTGAATATTTTGTAATGTGTATATTTTTACAAACATCCACTTTATCCAAAATTATTGTAACAGGGTTGACATTTTAGCATCATCTAAAATTACTGACAGACAAAAAAAAATAATAATAATAATCTCGCTGTCTTCGTGTAGGATATCCATCATCAGGCAAGCGGTATTAAAGTTTCAGATTTGAAAATGTTGACTTTCTGTGTTACTCAGCAGTGTGGTACAGTTAATATTTATAGCCTTTATAAATTACATGAAATGAGACAGACAAGTCTTAGTACAAAACCACCCATCTAATCTGTTCTATCTTGCTTCATTTAGTATACTGCAAAAAAAAAAAAAAAGTTACAAATAGTAGCTTATGGTACTACTGTTATGACACAGGCAACTGATAAGGAATGGGAAAGCAGGCCCAGCTGTTGCATCAGCGCATACAAATCTATCTGATAACCCTTTTTGGGAGGTTGCTACAAGTTGGGTGATCATAGGGCCGAGGCTGATTCTCTGTGTGCAACATGTAACGGCAGGCATTTTTCCACTCTTCCTCAATCTCCCTCGCCGCACCTGCTTGATTTACTTGAGCTTCTACTTTTAAAAAATCATCATTTGCCAAAGCCTCCTGTGCCCGGCCCACACTCCAGTAATCTATCAGGAGTGACAGGCCCTCAGAAGCCCACCGACGGCCTTACCCACCGCTGTAAACCAGATGTTATCACTAAATCAGGACCAACAAAGACAGATGTGAGACTGCATGCGAGCAAGGGAGAAAAAGGTTAAGGATGTAAGGGAAAAAGCTAAATTAGATTAAGTGTAGCAAAACTGCACAACAATTTTATCTCACGGTCCACCTGATTGTTCTCACAATCACTTGCCGTGACTCAAGCAAGCTGATGAAACGAGGAAGAGGTTCTGTGATACAGACAGGGGGGCGGCTATGAAAAGATGAGCAGTGAGGGAGCGACAGAGGAGCTTGACCCATTCTAGGGAGCTGTGGATTTGAAAATCCGATTTGAATCAGATTTTTACAGATGTGTCTCAGTCTGGATACTCTGGGCTGCTCAAATCAGATTTCAAATGATCTTTTGTGTCACTCTTGACACGACACACAACGATAACGTCAAAACCTGAACCTGATAACGTCAAAATCTGTCATTTCTGACAGAAATGCCAGAAGTATTCATACAGTATTCGAACGAAGCTGAAGCCGGCTGTGACTACAGCATGGAACATCACATCACAATATATAACAGTCTCCTCTGTCGCTGAGTTTTTCTCGTGAGACAGAGGATTTCTGCACAGCGACTCAAAAGGGCATTTATTTGGAGGTCGAGATGATGCACCTCCACTTTTCCTGTATCTGTTTTGAAACCATCATCAAAATATGAGTACACCTGCGTCGTAACCAAAGCATCCCATGCAGACAAGTTGGTTATGTCTGAACACAAAAATCTGATTTGATCACTTGGAATTAATAGTGCGGACAGTATGCCTGAAAAGATCTGATTTGAGAAAAACTGATTTGCCTGCAGTCTGAACATATAGCCTTAGATCTTCTACTTATGCGCTGATGAGTTGATTCAAGTGTGCTTGATTGGGAAGACATTGGTCTACTCCTTATTCCCATTCAGACTTGTTTTGGGGTCTATAAACTGCCCAATAACATAACATCTGTTCTTAATGTCAGTGGCTAAGAATCCAATCAAACTATGCCAGGGATGTCCAATCATGCTCGTGGAGAGTCACTGTTCTGCAGAGTTTAACTCCAGTCCTAATTAAACACACTTCAACCAGCTAATCTAGGTCTTCGGGATCAATAGAAACTTCTAGGCAAGTGTGTTGAGGCAGGTTGGAGCTAAACTCTGCAGGACATTGGTCCTCTAGGAGCAGGATTGGACACCCCGGACTAAAGCAAAGCTACAGCGATCCCAGAAGCTTTGGAGCTAAATTCTGCAGTACACTGGGACTTCAGACCTCTGCCAAAAGTATTAGGAGAAATGTTATCTGTATGCACCAAGGGTCTGAGTGTAACGCAATTTCAATTCTCTGTATGTATGTGCTGTACATGTGGAAGAATTGACAATAAAGCAGACTTGACTTGACATAAAAACCAAAATAAATCATGAAGGAAATGATTTATTTAGCAAAGGACACTGTGATATAAATGACTATATACAGAAAAAGAGCACAGAGGTTTGGCAAAATGTGCAGCACTCATCAATGCACTCAAAAAAGACCCTGCTTTACCAGGACACATTAACAAATCAAGATCAGGGCAACATCACAGATTACTGTCTCTCTCTATCCCAGTACCACATGATCCACCCTCTGAGAACTCCAGGTAATGCTGAGTCTTGTCTCTCGGCGCAGGGCAGATCTCGGGGTCTCTAAGAGCACTTGCATGTATGCACTACATGATGCACATGTGCAGTAGTGATGGATCAGTCCGATTCACTGCTGCAGTCTTCATCAGACTCAAGGTTGTCTTCTCCTCCCTCCTCTTCTCCTTCACGCTCTTCATCACTCTCCTTATCCCAGTCCTTCATGGATGTGCCCATCATAAAATCATCCCTCAACACGCTCCAGGACGGATTCTCCCCTTTCACTTCTACAGGCTGCTAATATCAAGAAAAGTTACAAGAATCAGTCTCATAAATCACACACGGCCTATATTTCAACATTAATGAATTCAATAAAAGCAGAAGTGTAAACAGCACCACCAAGTGGACACAATGAGTGAAATTAAGAAAAGCAAAAGCACAATGCATTTCTTGAACAAAGTCCACACGATGCTCAAAACTCATTTTACATACTCTGAATCTTAATATTTAATAGTACATACTAGTGTTCATTTTGTCAGCTATTTTTAATTTAGTCTTAGTCTTGTGTCAAATGTAACTTTTAGTTTTTATCATATTTAGCCAACTTGTCCTGTTTTAGTTTTAGTCAAGTTTTAGTCGACGAAGGCCCGGTTTCATAGACAGTGCTTAGCATAAGCCAGGATTAGGCCATAGTTAAATTAGGACATTTAAGTATTTTTTTATAAACATGCCTTAGAAAAAAAGCATTACTGGTGTGCATCTTAAGACAAAACAAAGTCACTGACATGTTTTAAGATCAGTCAGTGCAAGTTTCTTTCAGTTGAAACAGCTCAGATTTACATTTTAGTCTAGGACTAGGCTTAAGCCTTGTCTGTGAAACCGGGGGTAAATGTCTGAGAATTTTAGTCTAGTTTTAGTCAGTGGAAACTTACACATTTTCTTACTGTATGATGGGTAAAATGATGAAAACAAATATTATTTTGCTCAATTTTAATTGCAATGATTGTTGTCATTTGGAAAATTAATTTTTACATTTCATCAGAAGTTGCTCTTTCACCAATAAGCACAAATCAATAGAATATCGTATTTTTACGAATATTTTTCGTCATAGTTTTCGTTAACGAAATTAACACTAATACATACCCAGTAATATTTAATAGTAGGTACAATATCTTTAATCTTTAATGATTAGATATGATCTGTGAAGACCCTTTTTAATGACAAGGAGAGCTAGAAATTGTATTAAATAATTTGATTACCGTAAATCTACACTGAATGACAACGCAGTCATTTTGAAATTAACAAGAAATGGCATTCACAACAATCTTTACTCGTGTTATGTGTATTGCTGAGTTGGAAAAAAATAAAAAAATCCACACCACAAAAATTCCATGATTACAAAGACAAACTTTTTAATTATGCGTCATTTTGAAATTAACAAGAAATGGCATTCACAACAATCTTTACTCGTGTTATGTGTATTGCTGAGTTGGAAAAAAAAAAAAAAAAATCCACACCACAAAAATTCCATGATTACAAAGACAAACTTTTTAATTATGTACACTGATTAACTGCATGCAATAAAAAGGTAAATAGCATTATTTTTATACTATTATAATTATATAATGAATATGATAATAGATATTTTGAATTAGTTTTGCATTTTAATTTAAGTTTTAGTAATTTTGTTGTGCCATTTTGTTGTGTCATTTTTACCAGTTTAAGTTATTTTTTAATTCTATTAATTTGTTTTTTATTGTAGTTGTAATAATTTTAGTAATGCAACTTAAAACTTATTTCAGTTTGTTGCCAAGGCAATATTTCAAAATTTCTCATTTAGTATTTATATTTTATTTTAATTAAATTATCATAATTGTACTAACAGTAATACTAATAATAATAGTTGTTGTAGTTAATAACACTGGTAAATAGGGGAGTAACGGTACATGGATTTGTCCCAAACCATCACAGTACGGACGTCACGGTTCGCTTCATGCAGTCAGATGAATGCAGTCAGTCATAGGCGATCAATCCAGAAGGGGGCGCGCATTAATGCACCGCTAACTGTCACAACAGGAAAGAGCAGAAGCATGCAATGGCATGCAAGGACTCGAAGAACTACCTACTTGCTTTAAATCAGTAGTTTGGGAAAGTTTCGGGCTCTAGAGATGCACCAGTCGACCGGCTATAAATCAGAACCGGTTTTTCTCTATTCCAGAATTGCACACAAACTGCATTGCAATCATTTCCCAAAATGTAATTTGTGGGGAATTTTTTATGAAGTCTGTAAAGAGGAGAAAATACTGTACCAGGCAGATCAAGCTCACTGTTTGTGATGCTCGAAATATAGGAAGATAAATATGTGGGGGTTTATATGAATGTATCTCTAAGAGGAAATAACAGTCTTCAGAAATGTTTCGATGGAGTTTTCTTTTCCTCTTATCTTCATATAATGCATATTAATGTTTACATGCGCAGCTGCTTTGTTTACAGCGATAACCAAGGAAACGCTGTTCCATAAGCGCCACCTGCTGTCAGAGAATAAATTTGCATTTTCATTCAGCCCGTCTGCTGTTTTTGTTTTGTGCAGGTGTCTTATGTAGCATCATTTCACAAATCTAAAGTCAGACCATTCTGTTTTTGCGTTAAATATTGAAATTTAACATGCTACATATAGCACTACTGTCTGTTCAAAATAAATGAAAAAATACATTTCCTGTTGTACCGAACTCGTATTGAACTGACCCCAAAACCGAGGTTCGTACCGAACCATGACTTCTGTGTACCGTTACACCTCTACTGGTAAAGACAGTACATTTTGACTTCATGTTGACTTTAAGCAAGGAACTGTCTTTGCCATGTGACGAGGAAACACAGTTAAGTGTGTACGGGAAATATAAGTAATCTCACCACTTTCTCTTTTTTAATGGCCGGTTTGTGAGCCACGTCTGCTCCTCTCAAGACATCAATAAAGTCCTTCTTAGTCACTGAGGACAGAATTCTGGATTTCTTTCTCTCTGAACCCCCAACTTCCTTTATCCTTTCGTCCACGTTCTTCTGATGCTTCTTCACTGCGTTGAACAACTGCACCACACCTCTAAAGAGATCATACAACACAAGAATATACTACAAAAGACTGGGAAATAAAACAAAGGAGCTCATGAATTGCTTGACTAAATGATGTCTCACCTAGTAGCAATTTTCTGTAGGTTCCGCTCATGCTCTCGGTCTCGAACCACATCAGGCTTCTCTCTGCACATATTCTCCCATGCTCGTTTCTTATCGATCTGTCAATTATAAAACTGCATGTAAATGCATGTAGCCCCAGAAGTTCATGCCGTGTATTAAACTATCATTCACAAATGAACGTGTAGAACATCAATGAGTAACATCTGCTCCAAGATAAATATATATATTAAAAGCACCATAGTGAATAACAGTTCTGAGCACTAAATCAAAGAAGGCTTTTCTTATTTCGGTTGACTGCATTAATCATTTGGATTATCCATAATTCAAAAAAAAATTTCACAGAAAAACAGTAAATAAAGATGTTTTGCAATTCATTCCAGCCCTTAGAAGCTTAATATTAAACATATTGTACACTTTATAACTTAAAAAAAAAAAGAAGCTGTTTACAGAGCCTTCATTAAAACCCAGAACTAATCGAGCCGTTTGTGCCAGGATGGGGAGAAAGGTATTTTAATAATGTAAATTATGTGAAAAATAATGCGTTTTTCGAACCACCAAGCATGAGAGCATGTTCTAGTACACCCCCAAAACAAAATCAAGACTTTGTAAAAGAGCATAATAGGACCCCTTTAAATTGCATTCTATGAGATCTGGTGAAGCCCAGCTGATGGTGCGCTTCGTTAGCTTACCTGTTTCTTTTTTTTAAGTCGCTCTTTCTTCTCCTTCTCTTTGATCTTGTCCAGCTCTTTGTTCTTCAGGAGGATGCTGGGTTTGCTGTCTGGCGTTTTTTTCCCCAGGATTTTGGCCATGGCTTCAGCCCATCCGACGTTGGGATTTTCCACACCATCTCCATTCTGTCCTTCTTCACTCTTTCCATCCTCATCACCGCTGTCTTCTACATCACTTCCCACACCGGATCCCTCCTGATCACTTCCTGGTCCACTCTCTCCATCATTACTGACGCTGTCATCAGAAACGCCACACTCTTCCTCTAAACATCCACATCACACACAACAAATATATCATACATAAACATAGTTATGGCATCAATTTTAAAGGCGACCGTATGTTAGACACACTTGCCTGAATCCGTTTCTCTGTTTTAAGAATTTTTGATTTAAAGACGTATGCTTGAAATCTGCTTGTGTATATAAATTGCGAAAATATATGCAAGTTACCCCCCCATAAAGTTGGTTAAGAGAATTTCTGTTTACATGTTGTTAGTACAATAAAGATAGAAGGACCCTAAACTCTGTTCTAGCCATTTAACATTTCATCCATAGAGATAACAGAGTATACTGATCAATAAACCAAACGTAACATTTTTGACAAAAACAAGTCAGATGAATACCCAATAAATCACTAAATATTGCACAGAGAACGACTGTGTATTCTGTTTTACATTTCTACTGTAAAAACGAGACTAAGTTGTGTATACTGTAAAATCCCTCTCCCCTGTGTGGCAGCTGAACAGAGTAGAGTACAGTGAAGAAGAGACGTTTGATCGAATAGTATCCTGGCAAAATGATATGCTATACGTGCTACATCATAATTTGACAGTAAAACAGTTTAATTTCTCACCATTTCCCTCTTCAACAACGACATGTGGCTTCTTCAAGAGCGTCGCCATCTTTACTGATATTTACGAGTACTCGCTAAACAGTCCGTGTGGAACAAGAGGCGCTCAGGAAAGGTTCCGCACCTCTTATTTTGATACGATGTATTCGTGTATTGCCTCACAAACCCCCACTGAGAAAGACAAAGGCGATGTTGCGAAGAAAAACTCTCTAATAAGATGAGGACTGTTGAGAGGAACAAGGAATCAAGGCTCTGGGAATCCCACATTTAATCAAATAAAAACATATAGGCCTATATTCATACAAAACTGGATATATAAGAGAAATAGAGAGATAGAGAAATATATATATATAAGACACAAATATGACTTAATAATCATAATATAATTTTTGGGTTAAATCGTGCAGCCCTGCATACAAACATAGCAACCCTGGGGCATTTTAATAAAATCGCAATTTTAATCAGAAAAATCACAAATAGAGTTCTTTCCCTACATCATTCAGCCCTAAAAGTAGAATTAACTGTCTGTTTTTTCCCCCATGTAGACGTGTCATACAGTATTACAAACAAACAAGCAAACAAATAAATAAATGAAGCCTATTTTGCAAAGTGACAAAATTTAGCAAAATTCTTATTACTGTAAAGAGAATAAAAATATATTTTTAACAGTCATGAAATTAACAACAACAAAAAAAACATCCCAAGGGACTTTACCAGACACACACACACACACACACACACACACACACACACCTTGAGAAGGTCAAAGCTTGATGCTCAATCCTGTTGACTTTGGCAAAGGCAATATAATGACAATAGTGACTTATCATGCTGAAAAACCCTCACTGCTTATGAACAACATCCATGTGTGGCATGAAATAAATCAATTTCATCCCTTCAAAACATTGTCAGTATGAATTTGTGGTGTGTTACCATTTAACACAAATGTAACACTGAGGTGATGAATGACCTGACAAAAAGATTGCAGAGGGAATAGGAATGTGTCATGTGATTGACTGGAATGATAAGAAATGGCCAGTGGCTCTTTGAGGAAGAATGTGGAGAAACAGTAGAAAGATTTGTGCATGTGCATTTGTGAAGACACACACAGAGAGAGAGAGTGAGTGAGAGAGAGAGAGAGAGAGAGAGAGCGAGAGAGCTGCTGTCTCAGCTGCAGAGGTGCACTATAGAAGAGAGCCGAGTGACATCTTCACACTCAAGTGGAAGGACTTTACCTGTTTGCCCGGGTCACCATGGTGCCATCACAGCAGAGTAAGACACATCCTGATCAACAATGATGAAAAATAGTCATAAAACTAAGATCAAAGCTGTTATTGAAGACTGTGTTAAGGCATATATGCATGGCAGGCTGACATGTAATAATATCTGATTCTGTAGCTGTTTGTCTTTACCATTGTTCAGTTCTGAAATAGACATTTGGATAGCTAAAATAGTGATATATCTAAAACTATTCTTTATCCAGCATTTAGTTAATTTTCATATATTTATGCATGCATATGATGTCAAAATGCATATTAATTGAGAAAGCATGGATTAATATTATTTATAAATCTTGGTTTTTATAAAAAAAAATGGGAATGTACATGCTATGTGTACCCCTTACCCATAAAAGTAGAAAATATTTGATATATTTGTTTGAAAAACAAGAGTCAACAGTTAATAAATAAAAAATACAAATGTTCTATACAGTTCTGATGTACATAAAATTAAGCTGAACTGATAATCACTGTATGTTCTATATAACTGATGACACATAATGGCATTAAGGCGTGAAAAAGGTGTGTATTTAGAGTGCAGTGGACAGAAAATGGTTGGAATGTATGGAAAAGTATGGAAGAAGATGCTGTTACATCAGCTGAATCAAGGAAAAGCCGTTTTGTTATCTGAAGTTATAACCTATGTTGTCACATTCATCATTTACTACAGCCTGCATGTGGACACATTATACACATCATCATGTAGCATGGCTCCTGGACAAACTGGCTCATCATGTTTCAGTCCTCTCTCTTTCCTCTGGATAATATGTTAAAAATGTAAACATTTTTGTAACTGTGTTGAAGTGTGAAATCTAGTATTACCTTGCCATTTAGCTGATAAAAAATGCACACAGTATACTACAAAAAAACGTTAAGTCGGCATAAAATGATAATTCACCAATTCTATCTATTTTCTAAATGCAGGTTACTGATCTTACTGTGAACTATTATGTCTCTGGTGACGTATGCAGGACTTCTCCAAACTTTTAGTTTACTTAATCTCCGCCCTTTCTTATAATCGTCTACAAGCAGGGGGGCATTTTCTGTACAACAATGTAACTCATTGATTAACTACCATAGTATGATGAGAAACTAATCAACTAGTCGTGAATGTTTCCCGAAACCGTAGTAACATGGGCGCTCCTCCATTGTTTGAACCACGTTGGTTCAACAATATAGGACTATGATGTCACACACTGGTGGTGGAGTAATAACTTCTGCAAATTAATGGATTCAAGATCTCCGAGATGCTGCTGTAACAAACATGGCACCGGATGACTACTTCAGTGTTTTGTGTTCCCTGTCATTCAGCTTTATTTGATATTTGATTCATCCCAGTTTCCCTCTTACGCCATACTCATATGTTTGCACTCTTCAAAAACTGTGCTCATTGATGACACACTAAAATTTAGAGATTGAAACGCATATATTTTCAGTTCACATGTCATACTAACAAAAAACTATGCTTCAACCACAGGTGGAGAGCTGTAGTTCCAACCAGCTCATTTTGAAATGCTGTTTGAGAATGTTTGTTTGAACTATGGTTTCGGGAAACACTGACTTGTGGAACTATGTTGGTACCGACAGAACTTGCTATAAAAAAAAAACATTAAAAGTAGTCAGTTTAGAAGAAATGATTGTTCACCCTGTTCACCAAACAACATTTTAGCAATTCAATTTAGTGACAACAGTGAAACAGAAATAACACACTAGTCCTGTGGTAAAAAGTTGACATTATTGTTGTCCATTATTGACTTCCCAGCCAACATTTCATGGTGGGGTAAATGTAGGCACAATATGGGTTTGAGGTCTATGCCCCAAATTTGTCCACAGGTTCCATGTTGGCCCTATCTGAATTAACCCATAAGAATCTCATTTAGATTTGGGCTGGGGCTTATTCAAATAGGAATGACATGGACAGAACCTCAAGCCCATATCGTGCCTGCATTGGCCCCACCATGAACTGTTGGCTGGGTTGCTGTTAAAAGCTGATTAGACACAATTTGACAAACTTTTCTTTATGTTTTCCAGAGACCAAGAGCCCAGTGATGGAGTCTGCCATTAGCTTTGTGCTTGGAGCAGTGGCTGGAGGTACGCTGGGAGCTACGGAGGAACCGGTGAATCAAATTATGCAGGAGATCATCTCAGGAGCCCAACTGAAACCTGTCGTATCTGGCATTAAGAGCATCGGGGCTCTGGGACTGGGTGCGCTTCTAGGAGCTACTGCGCTCATCGCATCAATGACAGCGGTGGTAACAGGTGTCATTGTTGCCGCTTCTGTGGCCTTGTGTCTGTTAAGAGTGAGGAAGAATGAAGCATGGGCAGCAGCAGGACTGACCGCAGCCTTGGCCACAACATCAAGCGGTGCAGCACTAGGGGCCATCATTGAAAAACTGAGCATGAGCTACGGGATGGTCAGCCTGCTCTGGGCTATGGGGATTTTCACAGTCTTGAAACTACTGATGCACATCTTTGTGAAGTATACATGCACAGGACATGAATTCTGTGGATCAATTACTGATGCTACTAAGAGAGAGCAAGCAAGATTACTTGCTTTAGAAGTAGATCTAAGACGGCGGGTTGCGTTGGAATTGGAACAGCGGATTATCGCCTGTGAGATGAAGGAACCAGAAGAGGATGGTCTGGCTGCTTGGGAGGCCCAACGAAGAGAAAGAGAAGAAGTAAAGAGACAGCAAAATAAGGTTGTTCAGTTGGAAATGCAGCAGAGGGCTTCTAGATATCGCCTGCTCAAAGCCGTGGCCAAATACATGGAGTTTCTTGCATTTTCTGGCATTCCGATGACTGTGGCTGCTTTTGTGACCGCTGGCTTTGGCATCTTTGGGTTTGGAGATTACAGATTTGTTTTTGTTATCCTGTTAGTTGTGATGTTAAGCATGTCGTTTTGGCTCATGAGGTCACAACGTTTGGACTTTTGGATGCTTATGGGATGCGTGGGAATGTTTGCCACATTTGCCATTTCCGTGCTGACTGTTCATGCCGGACAGGAGGTGGCAGGCATGTCCGTCAAAATGCGCTTGGCAGGACAAGGCATAAGCAGGGAGAATATCAGCGTCCGTATGACTCATGCATCCTCTGTGCAGGCAATTTCTGCAGGATTCTTCGTGTCTGAAGTCTGTCAGGTTAGTTTAGGGGCCACAGTCGGTGGTCCAGTGGCATGGGATGCTGGAGGAAAGGTGATCTTGGCTGCGTCTGTAACCACTGCAGTTGTTTTGTCGATAGTTAAAGTGTCAATGCAGATGCTAGGAGTTGGTGGTACAGCGGGGGCTTTGTTGGGGGCGGCTGGAGCAGCTGGTGTGTCCATGGGAGGCGCTGCAGCCGTAGCAGTGAAATCATCCTCATGGAGAGGAACAATAGGAACCACTGCTGGGATGATCTTTGGCTTTTTGGTGTTTGGAAAGTGGGATATTGTTAGCATAGGGCTTCAGCTATGTGTAGCATACCTGTTTGCCATGACAAATCTTTACTGAAATGCTATGATGTAACTGCTCTTTTTAGTACTACAGTGGGCTTGGAAAGAATCAGCATCAATAAAATTGAGGTGTTTTTCTTCTTCTTTTTTTTCTATTCTCACTATATCACATTTTTTTCTATATTTGCTATATAATTTGGTCTAAAGTTTTATTAAACTGTCCCTTTAAAAAAATAAAAAATAAAATAAATAAAGTTTTTTTTTTTCTGACCATTATTTCATATGTCAGGCTTTACAGGGTTAAAACAAGATTGCTTTTTCTAATATGTTGGATGCATAGACTGTATAAAAACATGGATGTAGTGTCCGTGACGTCATCCGTAGGTTTCTGAAGAGCGTTTTCGAAGCT